CCGAAGGACCTGCCCCGCCCCTTAATCCTGGCCATTAACATTGAGTTGTTCTCGTTGTGGTTTTCCTTTTATATCGTTGCTCTTGCCCTTGTTGTTTTAATAATTTGTTCCTTAAAGCTCCACCTACACATGGCTCGTAAATATCCCCAGTGCGTTGTCCTTGTTCATTTTTTCCTTTTTTTTTTGTTTTGGTTAGGGGGAACAATTGTTGTTTTCACACCATAATCATAAAAGGTACAAGCATAATTATTATTTTTATGTCTCTGCCACTTATTGTAAAGCAGCAAATTGCCTGACCACACATAAAATTGTACCCTGGCAGGATCCTACGTGGGAGTCGTCCTTTATGATGGGCCAGACTTGTGCTGGAAAAACAGTGAGATAGAGTGGGTGGTACATAGTTATACGGTTGGGGAGTGGCAAGTTGGCTGGGAAAAATTGTAATTTTGGTCCTGTCCTCGCTGGCTAACTAATGTCCTCGCCCAACGCTTCCTGCTCTCAGTTAGTGAATATTTATGATTGCCAGCCGAAGAGGAAGCGGAAGTACACGAGAGCATCCTCCAGAACTCTTTCCTTTTCTTTGTTTCATATTCCTCAGGCTTTATTTTCGGGCAGTTCTTAGTTCTCCGGAGAGGTTTATGGCAGAAGTAAATTATAAAAGATATGAATGAGGCAACTATGCTGGTAGCCTTTATTTTCGCTAGAATGGGGATGAAATAACTAATTTCTAGTAAATAATGAACAGAAATGCTGGGCAAATAAAATACCCAAAATGTTATTGCTTAAAAGAAGATTTTTAAATTTAGGCGTATGGCTAGTTAAATCTTAAAAATTGAGTTTGTGTTAGCAAGGTAAAAAGAGTTTCCAAAAACTCTATAAATTCAAGTTCTTAGTTGTTAGACTTGATATAGACTTCTTAAAGTTAAGAGCACAATTTTAAGATTTTCTCATAAATTACCCCCAATGAAATGCCGCTTACATTGCTTAAAATGCTTTTACCACTCAAAGAATAAATAAACTCCGCACTCTTTTTGCCACCAACCCCAAAAACCATCTAGGCTATATCTTCACCCCAGTCCGGGGCTTAGGAAATCATTCAATTGTGCAGGTAAATGGACTGCAAGCGACAGTCCAAGACCTCCGACCCCTGTCAGACCCATAAAAAAGGGTTAAAAGTCCCGAAATGTTTCACATACAATTGCACAAACATCGCAGCCAGAAAAACAAAACCCCTTCAGTGAAAAGAAAGCAAAAAAAAATAAAGAAAATCGCCGAAAAAAACGAAAGAACGCCAAAAAGGTTGCCACGTCGTGGTCAGACTTAATCACTTTTATCCGGACAGGCCTTCGATGATTCGTAATCCTTTTAAATGCCCCTCTCGGGCAGATTTATTAGCTGCACGTGATAGTGGTCTCCTTCGACAGGGGAAAAAAATGGCCACGAAAATCATCAAAATCCACGCCCCGAGCTCTCTTAATGCTAATTTATGGACGAGCTGAGTTCGCATGAGGAGCCCAACTTATTCATGAGCTGCCTGAAATATGGTTCCATTTAAATGTGTGTATATAAATGTATATTTCCTTTTGGTGCATTTGCAAATCGTTGGGGGAATTATAAACTTTGGCTGGGGTGAGCGGCAGCGTCAGCGGAAAAACCATTTTAATTAGTAAAAATCCCCACCCGCCAACGTTTCGTATACGTAATATTTATTCTGGCATGGTCGAATATTTTATGCGAACTGAAAAGAGAAGCTAAATGAAAAATTAAAATTTTACCAAAACAGGAAAATTAATTTAATGCCAAAACAAATATATTAAAATTTCTTAACATCTTTCTAAACATCGACAAACCATTGTAGGATTAAAAATTGTTATAAAATAAACTAAAATATAATATCACTTAATACTTTACAATGTATTAAGAAACCTTTTAACATATATATTTTTTTCTTCAATGTATTCAAAACGAAAACGATAGAACCAAAAATATAATACTATTTGCAATATGTTTATACTTACTATCATAACAATTTAAGAAGTCGAAATTTCCTTTGCGAAAATAGATGAAAACATTTTCCCATCTGCAAAAGCAAATAATTTTCCCCAAATTTTCATTATTACGGAACCCTACCAAATTTCGATAGATAAAAACGAGTAAGATGGTAAAAAATTTGGCAAAATTATGGCAAAACTTTTCAACAGTTTTTGAACAATAAAAAGCAAATGGCGCTGGATAGAACTTGCCGCAGGTCTGCCACGCCCCTTGCTCCGCACGCCCACCATTTTGTGTATGGAGGGGACCGCACATTAGTAGTTAGTGCAAGCAGGCGGTGTTCTAACTTTTGAATAAATACAATAAGAGGTGGAGGTTCTCCCTGGGCGCCACTTTAGACAATGAAGCGTATAATGCTAAATATCGCTGTGGCAACCGCATCCAGCTGTCGTCCTTCGTCCTGCGCCCCGTTTATGGTGTTATGGTGTCTCTACCACCAACTATCCTGAATAATTTTGTGCGCTGCGCGGTTTGGCAACAATTGCTTTCATTATGGAACATTTTTTGTTCGACTGGAGATGGGTAATGGAGATGGGGGATGGGTAATGGGGCTGGTGACTTGGGGCTGGGCTGGAAAGTGGTTGACTCCACCTTGGAAAACCCCTTGATGTTGTTACATTTACTCCTGCTGCTGCGGTTTCCGCTCGCCCGTTGTTTGTGCTTGTGTATTCTGTATTTTGTATCCTGCGGCCGCAGATACATTATCCGAAATTTGCATAAAATAAATAAATTAAATATGCCAGACATGCGGTGCGCCGTTGGTCGCCAGGAACAGCCAGAGTTGTTGGCCTGCCATAGCACACTGAGAGGAAATTCGATTTGATTTGTATAATATTTAGCTAATTTACTGAGCTCAAAATGAGTACTATTTTACGCTCAATTTAGTTCGGAACCTGGTAACTTTTAATATTTTTTAAGCTAAATCTATATAGATCGTTTACGAAGACGATATTATCAAGATTATACATTTTTATTTTTCAATTTATTTTAACCTTTAATGTTATTTAGATAAATTTAGAAGAAATTTATATATATTTTCAAAAGGAAAAAATTAAATAAACATTTTAAAAGTGTGTAAGTATCTTACAAAAAGATTTAATGAACATTTTAAAAGTATTTAAATATTTTAAATCAATATACTCGTATAGAGCGTTTACAAAGACAATATTATTTATCTAAGTTTAGATACAATTTATATATTTAAAAAAATAAAATTTTATATTTAATAAATCTTAATTTTAAAGATATTTAAATATCTTAAAAATGTTTACAATTCTTCAATGAAATTTATTTCTTTATAAATTATTTCTTAATCATATACTACTGAGTAAAGCCCAAATGAAGGTTTTGCTTTACCAGCTAAATTTAAACTTTCGAGATTTCTAATTTATCATTTTCCGGTAAAGTAAAATATTTTATTTTTATTTTTCCACTTCCCTCTGATTTTTCCCAGTGTCTCCGATCTTGCTTCATTCCTTCACTTGGGCGTTCAAAGTTTTCATTTTATTATCACGCAGAACTAGAGAGCGGGTGGCGAAACGGGTGCCCCAAACGGGGGGCTATTTCAAGGGGGAGCATTTCCAGGGGTAAGAAGGGATACTGGCCCATCGAACAGCTGCAGCATTTTTGAAGTTGTCCAGGAGTCCGGGATGCTGGGTTCCCGGGCCTGGGAACGTGGCAAAAAGGCAGCCAGGATGCGCTACGTTGCGTTTGCTTGTCATGCTCCGTTGCGTGATTTTTGTCCACCCCCTGTCCTTGTGCCACCCAAACACCCAACCACCTCCCAGCACCCACTCCCTTATGGCCCCCCACCCACTGGGATGCTTCATGCACGAGTTGTTGTCCTGGCTGCTGCTTTTTGGCATCCGCTGCCTCATAGAGCACATGGCTCTGGTCTGCGGCATTAACTTCATGCCGCTTCATTTTGTTGGCCATCTTTTTTTCTCCACTTTTTTTTTTTTAAGCTTTAGCTCCCCGAAATGGCCGCTACAAAATTGGTTCGTTTGGTCGCCAAAGGCACTTAAATTTCCCTCCAGCGGCATTTGTTTTTCCATCTCCTCCTGTTTTTGGCCCGCTGATGTTGATGAGGATGGTGTTTTGGCGGTGGGTTTGTTGTAGTTCAATTTGTGCGCTGCGGTTTAATGAAATTTAGTTGTTAGTTGCTGCACGTTTAGCTTTGCATAGATGTCCGCCCCCCCAGGAAACACTTTTTGGATGGATGATGGCCTGGCGAACACCCGAAAAACCCAACGACCAATTTTCAAACGGATGGGCGGTCCATGGAGGCGTATACGTGATGTAGAATTTGTGTATGTTAAAGGGTAATTGTTGTGGGAAATGGGTCTACTGTGAAGATTTAGCCTTGTGGAGTTGGGGAAAAATTGGTCAGAGTTTGCTCATTTCGAGCTGATTGAAAGGATTGTGATATATGGGTGGGTATATATGGGTGAGGCACATTGTTCATACGTGATGTGGGCTTAAAATAATGGAAGAACATTTTTGAGAGTTAAGATATTATGCACGTATATATAAATATTTATTTAAGTTAATTAGCTAAATTAAGAAGATTCTTAATTTCAAACTATAGACTTATAAATATTTCATGCTTACACGTGAGTTACATATGTTTGTATTTACTTAAATATTTATGATAATATCCACTTCATAAAATATGTATAACAAGCCATGCTTGAACATTTTCATGAATAACTAAATTGAATACGCAACTAAATAATAAATGAGGAAGTTGTAAATTGAGTGCCGGATATGTTTTTGCAAAACGGTCATCTTAAAAGTGATTTTAGGTTTTGTTTGACATTTGTTTTGCATACTTTCGGGGATTTCCTTTGCTGCCTTCACATACATATCAACAAACAGATAAATCTGGATGCATATGTATTTCAAATAAATATTAAAATGATTATAAATAAATAAAGGAATTTAAGCTGTTTAAAATCACAATTTGCAGTTTATAATCACAATAGCATTTACATCTTTAGCTGGCAGTTCAACTTAATTAACAAATATGTACAACATTTAAAACTCAACAATGATTAAATTCATTTCTAGGGGTTGACCAAATTCTGGCGGGAAATGCTAGTCGCTGTTATCTCTTCAACAAGTTCAGTTGATGTTTCCACAGGAGGAATTTTGGGATTGGCCTCGATCTTTTGGCGCTTTCGAAGTAACTCCATCTCAAGACGACCCAGAGGAACCTCAACAAACAGATGCATAAACAAGGATACAAACAAAGTGATGCCAAAGTCTGACCAGAAGCGAAGGATCTATAAAGATTTTAAACATATTATTATTATAATGGAAAAAAAATGATCTCAATCTACTCACAGCATCGTAATCCGAAAAATGCAGACTCGTCTTGATACGCCCTATGTGAACAGTCTCCACAAGGAGATGCCATATATAAAGGCAATAGGATAACTTGGAAAGTGGTTGCCAGAAGGTCCAGCTTAGCAGGTCATTGATAATGGGCGCCAGCCCATTTTGGCAAGCCCATATAATCCAACACAAAGCCAAAGGCCAGGCAATACGACTGCAACACAGATAGAAAGCTCCATTCAGAGGGGAAATATCGCCCACCCCATCCTGGGTATAGGGATAGACAGCAAAGATCACGGTGGCTAAAAGGGAGAGTGACAGGATCCACAGCACCAAAGCCAACCAATTTTGCATACGGCTCTTCTGTCCACTTTGATGGTGCAGAAAGTACCCAAAAAGTAGCCCAATTAACCAAGGAGTGGCTCTGGCATGAGTGGTATAGTAGATCAGCCGCATTTCGGAACTATCCTCACCCAGGTTCCTATTTAAAAATGATACTGGTTTTAGGAGGGGAACTTAATTTAAGTCGCAGTATTCATGCTTACCCATGGCGGTCAAACACTCGAAGATCACGGAGCATTACTATACTGAAGACACATCCGAAAAGAAGCAGGATCAAAAGGACAATTCCTCCAAAAGCCTTTTTTCCCCAGTTGTAGAGGGCAATTAGAAGAAGAGGCGATATAATATACAGTTGCATATCGACAGCCAGATACCAGGAATGACCCAAGCACTTTAAGAGTAAGATAGATAATATATATGTTATAGGGTGGGTTAAAAATAAGGCCTATAAGAAAGACTTACCATTTTACCAGGTGCCGCATAGTTTTGCACATAGAGCAGAGTGGCCCACCAGGTTTCGCTGCAGAGTTCCGATGAGCTGGTGAACTGCTTCCACAAGGGACCGCTGTCCAATCGGGGAAAAAGCGTCATAAAGATGAGGACCGCCACAGCCAAAACGGGTGTAAGACGCACAAAGCGATGCAGATACATCAGTGGCACATTAAGACGACCTTTGGTACTAAGGATTATAATAAATTACTATTGAACCCTGAACTGAAATACCTCCAACTCACCGATCCATTTCACGCAGAGTAGTCAAAACCAGGAGCAGTCCACTTAGTAAAAAGAATGTGTCCACAGAAGTGGAACCGCTTTGAATGACCATAGAGAAAGGAGCCTGAGCCCAGGCCACAATATCATAGGCATTGATGTTGGGCGCCAATAGCAAGTACATATAGCCATGGCCAAGGATGATCCAAATGATGGTCAAACAACGAATACCATTTAGACATGGAATCACACGGGGCGAATATGTGCTCGAGGTCTTCAATAATTGGGGTAGATTTTTGCGTAGAGAGAACGAACCCAGAAGCTTACTTGGACCTACTGAAATAAATAAATTAGAATAAGAATGTGATCTTAAATAAACATTTAGTTTATTTTACCTTCGGCATAGTCCAATATGGTGGCCAAGAGAACCAAAGTGCACAACAAGATGAGAACAGATCTAAAGAATTACAAAAATAAGTATATCATGAGTATTTAGAAATCTTTAAAGCCTGAATATGGAACTCTAGTAATACAAATAAACAATTATTAATGTATTTATTTTATATTGTTATATAATATTTCACATTTTTAACTAAAAAATACCATTTTAGCAATTATTTGGCTATCGGCTTCTTCTTCTTCTTATGCCAAAAAAAGAACCACAGATAAAGTCAGCAAAAGCGAGAGAAACATAATGTTCAAAGTTCACCTTGGTAAAACGAAATGTGACCGTTTTCAATGGATGTTTTAGTACTAACTTGTGCTTAATATAAAATTATTATAAAAATAATTGAATATTAATTTATACAATAAACAATAAATTGTAAATCATTAGGTTTGACTTTAGCTTTCAGTTCATACGATCATTCTCCTAACTTATGCCATTCGCATTCAAAACAAGTCTAAGCATACACAACCAGTCATTCCAGTGCACATTGCGTAAGTTTTGAGCAAACAAAGGCTGGAAGATATGATCTATTACCCCATCTGTACGCCATACTATTATTTTCTTAACGATCTACTCTGTTTTTACTTACACAGCAAACCAGTCTAGTCCACCCATTGGGTTTTCATGATTCAAGGAGCAGTCCTTTTCCTGTACCAAAGTAGCCCCAGTTGAGTTTTGGCCAAACATATCCTGAAGATGTCCATGAAGCCATCGACTAAGTTGGGCGGCACTGCAGGACGAAGGTATACAGGTGCCAATACTTAAAGTAAGGGCATCTGCACCCACTGATTGCAATAGAAGACTCTCAAACTGTAGATGGCTCAAGCAGTATTTGGCTCCAGTGTTGATGGTGATACTATTTCCTAAACTTTTACTTAGGTCCAAACTGAGACAGGACTCATAGTTGCCCATGTCCATAAAGTGTCCGTAGAGCAGGCCTTGTGGAAACTTTCCCCAGGCATCGAGAACTGCAAGATATAGTAGGGATGGTTAGTATCGGACACCCAGTTAAATTACCAATATAATCTCACCTCGAAGAGCTGGCAAGGATTTGGCCTCCGCTCCTTTTAGAAGAAGGCGGACCTCTGCCAAACAGGTTGCCTCCGAAACACTCGAAGATTGGTTGTCATTTAGGGCCTGCTGGAGTACCTGATACCCAAAATTACTAGCCTGCATCCAAGTCAGCAGGTCCTTTGAGCTGTAACCATTGGCAGCAGGTAATCCTATCCCCAGGATCAGGATAGGTATAAGGATCACCCGGATAAAGAGCGATGAGCTCGAGCGGCTTGATTGCTTGAATACCATTTTTATGTGTGCGACGGCCATGACGATGCGAGTGATATTTATACCTGGCTAGTAAGACTCTTACTCTGGCCCATACGCTGACTGATATGGCTATTTCTAATCACTTCGGGGAAGCTCTCTTAACTGCAGCAGTCACTCTCTAACTGGCAACCCTCTAAACGTGGCCCTACTTCACAGGGTAGCTGGCTGGTCTAACCCATTTGCATGCTGTTACTACCTGTTTGTTAATATCTCAGTGACGTGCGAGCAACGATCATTGCGACGATCGCAAACAAATCGGTTCAATGACCGATAGAGCAGCCAAATTAGATTCAATGCCACATATGATGGGGGATGTCCGTTGCGATGACGATGACTTTTAGCTATTACATATAACATAAAAACTTTTTACGCATTACTAAAGCAGTGGAGTGTATCTTTTAAATGTGTGACTTGGGAACTCCCCCATCCCATTGACGGGTTAACACATGACAATTGAGACAATTACGTCAGTTTGTTTTATATTTCACAAATGGGTCAACAACCGATAGCGACTTCTGGTGAACAGATCAGTTGGCGATACAGAGGCACTACAAATAATTCCAATAAATTCGTCACTAGCTCAATCGGTCGAGTTGAAGGGGCTGCTCACCTTGGCAATCTATTTGCGGTTTGTAATAGTTCGGCGGTCATGGCAGGGTTGTTGAACCCACTGCCCTTGGAAAGGGCGATACGGCAAAACTAACGCATCTGGTTTTATTTGACGGTAGGTATTATTGCGCAATAATAGCCGCATTAATCAATATGCGATTCAAAGTGTTAAGTATTTTTAAGTCAGTCAAACAGTGTGGGTATTCCCAAGCGCTACGAATTGTGGGTCCGCTAAAATAAACAAAAAAAAAACAACGAGTATTGGGCGGTACACTTTCACTGCTGGATCTCTGAATGGTCTTGTCACGCATTTTGCCAAAAAAAATGTTAATATAGGGTCTCGACTGAATGATACCTGGTATTTTTATTATACTAAGGAAAAACAAATTAAATTTATGTAAGTTTTGGCATATTATCCATAAAGTTCTAGATCAAATATAAAACTAAAGATTTAAATTGTTTCCTTTATTCGGTTGTTTTACAAAGTCAAAATAGCTGTTGAAAATGAATACCTAACATTTCATACGTTGTTAGCAATCACTTTTGTTTACATTTATTATTAGAGTTAACGAACCAGTTAGCTGATAAAATTACTGTGTGACTTCATAACCATTACATTGTTTTTCTGCTTATCAAAATCAAACAATAACAAATTATCAATTTTTGTAGTGTTTTGAGATAATTACAAGTGGCTGTTGGCAAATACTTACATATGTATATACTACATATCAATGAACATGACTAAAACCACAATATACCCGTTTTATCAATGAGTTCCGTGTAAGCCCATACAGAAATATGTTTAATTATTTAAAAAGTTTACTGAAAAGAGTTGAACTCAGATAAAAAAACTAGCAGCTTATGTGTGTATATGGACATTAGGGTGGACCCTCGTTGCATACAAATTTGGGTCATGTTCCTACGAAGTTATATAGTGACATGCTTATAAGAACCAATTTTAACATTATTATACCCAGTAATCAAATTATACCGATTAAAATGATCTATCTTCTCTAATGCAAAGACTTTAAATACAGTTTTAGTTCCACTTCAAAGCTCCTACTCCCGTAAACTTTCAAATCACTTTCCCCAATCATTTTAACTGGATTATTAGAACATTAAAAATTTAATTAAATTTCCCTATCAGCGCATGTAATTAAAACAACTTTAGCAGGAAAAGTTGCACAGCTAAACCGCAAAACAGTTTTCCGAAAAGACATAAACGTAATAGTAACTACGTTAATCCGACAGCTGAAAATACTGACACTGAAAATCCCTGGAAATACATTTAACTCTTGCCTTGCGCTAAGTACAATGTAAACCGTTTGCCACATTCCACAAAAACACAAACACACACACGCGATCCAGGAAAACCCAGAGACAAAACAAGAACTAAGGGTAAAATTTGGGGGAGGTGTAGAAAGTAGTTAGAGGGGGTGGCAAGCTAGCCGAATTTCGACACATGTTGCCGCAATAAAAATGTCAACACACACATAAAACATCTTCTAAAATAACATTTGCAGCAGGCAGCGAATTCCAAAGGACCAACCGGCAAAAAATGCGAATATTTTTGAAGCATAATAAATGGAGCTCAGCGTGGGAAAGCATCGTATGAGGGGGGAAAAACTGAGCTCGGGAAATCCCCATCCACACGTGCTTAAAGCTCAGACTCACACACACACACACTCGCACAATGCCGGCCATTAAACACGCATTCTTTGGCCATAGAAATTTATAGACCAGAAAGGCAAGACGACAGTGAAAGTGTGAGAGCGAGTGAAAGAAGGGAAAGCAGGGAGATTGGAATGGGTATGGGAATGGGATAGGAATGGGTTGGGAAGGGGTAGTGCGAAATGTGTCGCGCATCCAGTCGCGAGTTCTACTTTCACTTTCGCCGGAACTTTCATTCAAGGACATGGAGCAGACAGGACCGCGCCAGACACTAATGGCAGGACCCGAAATCGAAATCGAAAATGGAAAATCTTTCTATGCCCTTACTGGGGGAACTATCATTTTTATTCTTTATTTCAAAATATGAATAGATTATAAATAAAGTATTAATAATAATGCCTGAAAAATGTCTAGATTTTTAGAATCATATAAGGCATATAAGAATATAAATCCATACATTTTCGAGATTGTGGGTACCAAACGACATCTTTTTTGCAGCATACTTGTAGGCATATTTTTAAGTAACTTTCTATATATACAAATTTCCATAGCATCCCCGAAACTATTCCTTTAAAAATGTCAAAAACAAAATTTTGTGTATCCTATTGATCTTTAAAATCCAAATACATTTAGTCTTTGATTTAATAAATAAAGTTGAAATGAATTTAAAATGAAAATATTAGGATTACAACAAATATTTTTTAGGGTATTCCCAAACCCAGGATTTTTTTTTTCGTAACCAATTCTTTTTTTTGGACAGCCAACATATTTTTAGTTTGTCAGCTGAACAGATCTGGGTGGCCCCACTCCCCCTTCAATAAAATCCTGAACTGAATTTAAAGGAGAAGCCCAAAAAAAATATAGTCTGCGGGGGCGTTTCTCCTTTAATGAGATAATCTGCACTACTCGTCGTTATTTTACGTAATTGAAGGTTCACTTGCAAACAAGTCCCCTCTTGATTACCAAAAGTGGGGGTAGTACGGAGTTTTGGGGTCTGAGTCTGGGGATGTTGGCAACTGGCCGTAATGATAGTGGTGGGCCTGCAGCCTGTACGTGCGTGTAACTTTCTGGGGGGGATGTTAGATGTTCCTCTGTTCCAGCCACCATCTTCCATCTTGTCTGCATTTTTTGGTGGAGCTTCCTGGGATGGTAATCTGCAATAAATGAGGCATGTTGGAAGATTTATTTGATTGCTTTATTTAATATTTTAGAAAAGGCAGATGTTCCGCTACCCTCTCAGCGGGAAGGAGTGGAAATTTAGGGGGGCTTTTGCTTTTGGAGGCGGTGTGACTTTAGAGCTGCCGTTGAGTGGCTGACTGTGAATTATGACGGATATAATGAACAATATACGCATCTGGGGGCAGGAATGGCAAAGGTATCCCGAGCAAAGGTGAAAAGCATTTCGAGTGTGTGTTGACGGGAAATGATATATGATTGGGATATGAAAATTCTAAAGACAATAAGTTATGGCATGTGCTGCATTGTGAAGTAAGAAAATGGAGTGAATCATTTAATTTAAAAGTGAGAAATGTGGCAGAAATATACAAACTATTATTTATCTTTGAAAAATATAACATCATTTGAAAAAATATATAAATCAATACATAAAATATACATTGTTTTATTCATTTTCATTGCACATTTCTTTAAAGCATACTCCTTGTAGGATTCTTAAAGCGCGTATATTATAATTTCCGTTCCAGCTTTCAATGGCTGGATACTTTAAACCTGTTCTTAGCATTTCGAATCCTACCTTGAATAAATTTGCCTTCATCAATTCTGATTAATCCCAAGTCCGGGCGAGAAATCTCTGGTAGACCCAATTTGCAAGGCGGCCCCCGAAGGGCAATCCACAATTAAATGCTCCGCTCATTGCGACATCGTTTATCACTTCTCCGGGAGTCTCGGATTTCCCGATTCTCTAGGCTCTGTCCACCATTATGGTTGCTTCATTACAAGCGATTAATTTTGATTGTTTCGACCAGAAGAAGAGCAAGAAAAAGTGCCCAATGAAGCACTGAAAAATTTTATACCGAGAATCTTCCCTCTGTTGTTTTCTGTTTCTGGGATAACCCAGAGAAAAAGGGCCATATTTCACCCGACAGGAGGCAGAGTGCAGATATAAGGACTGGGAGCTGTGACCAAAATTAAGCACACAGGGCACAACTACACGAAAACGTAATAAAATCATAATCGTCGGATCAACACAGTCATCAGCGGTGTCACAACAGGCTACCAGGAGATGATGAGGACAAAAGGCAAGGACGCAGACATCGGAGGATGCCACTGAAGCAGCCAAGGAGCAACAAGGAGCAGCGAAATTGCACAAGCAATTGCCGGGCGAAACTCAACGGTAATTACAGTAATAATTCAAAAGAGATTTGCCCCCACCTCATCCCAAAAAAAATAAAATGGAGCAAAAAAACAAGACTCCAGCCAAGGAGAAAAGCAGAGGTACGGAAAACTAAGAGACAATGAAGGCGACGATGCAATCCAGAGGGCCAAAAGTGGCAATTGCCACGACCAGAGACAAAACTGCACAGTGGGTGAGAGTTTAGATTTCAAAAAAAACATTATCCAAAAAATTTGGTATTTTTAAGAGTTTACCTATTATATACATCCAGATTGTAGTACCCATTGTTTTTAAAGGTTCACTTAAGGTTCCATTTTTTATAAAAAAACGAAAATACGTTTGTGATTTAAATCATGCTTTAATTATA